AGAGCGTCAGCTGCTTCATTGCCTTCAATTCCCTTATGCCCTGGCACCCATTGAAGAGTTACCTTGTTGTGGTTGGCCAGGGTTAGCAGGCATTGAAGGCAGACCAGTTTTGATCTGATTTTATTGCATGTTAAAGATTGAATGGCCGCCTGACTATCTGAGCATATGAGGATTTGTTTACCTCTGTATCCTCTTACAATATTCTCTCTCTGGCATGCCTCAATAGCATGCACCTCTGCCTGGAATACTGAAGCATACCTCCCCAAGGAAGCAGCTTACTTTACTAAAACCTATTTTTTCTCACAAACTCATATTTGTAACAACTCCTTCTTAAACTTGCTCCTTCAATTATGACAGTATATAATATTCATATACTGTTTTCTCTTACATTTTTAGCAACGTACCTATTTTTATAATCGAAATTTAAGTTTCTAGATTAGTATCGAGGTATTGTTTGTGAACTCCTTGCAAGGAGGAAAATGTATGATTTTTCATGATGAGACATTCGGAACATCATTTTTCTCTGTCAGCCAATCAGAAGAAAATGTGGAGTCGACTGAGATATTCTGACTGCTCATACTTGAAACCGCTGCTCAAGAGTATCATAATGATTTCCATATTTTACCCTAATTCCCACCTCATTATTCATAATATCCATTATCCGTATTCTCGCCAAAAGGCAATAACAGAAGAAATTGAGAAATATAGAAACATCGTAAAGAAATAACGATAAGGTTCGAATCCCTGCTAAGGTACATTAGGGCCTTAATTCGAATTCATGCAGTGGCATATCTCAGTAACCAAATGATCCATCAGCGTTCAGTTAAAAAGCGATGGAAAGATAAATTCCTAAGCAGAAGGCAATTTATGGATGCAAAAACATAGGCGTAGGTACTCCGAACGGACTTCAAACAGTTTGAACCAGCGATATGTTGAATATACCCGCACACCATGGAAATGTTTCTGTCGAAAATCAGAGAGTCAAACCCGGACCATCTCCAATTTTCATTCATTTCCCTAATATTGTCCAAATTCCTCAGCAGATGGCAATTTATCGAAGCAAAAACATAAGCGTAGGTATCCTGAATAAGCTTCAAACAGTTTGAACTGGCAATTTCATATTCTCTAGATTTCAGAATCCAATGAAACATATGAGAATCAGAGGAGCTGAAAATAAATTATCAATGCATCAAGTTCGGGCTCACGGTTTTATAGTTTTTTCGATCGTGGTGTTATCAAAATGAGTAAAAAATCATCAAATTGTATTCCTTCTGGTTTTTGAATGGAGCATAGAATATTTTCAAATGATTTTCTTTCTGAAATCAGACGGTGATAGATCTAGCTGTCAATCTTTTTTACTAATGGACCTTGATAATAGTCTGAATACATACAATACTACTCTAAACGAATGTCCTAGGAATCAATCTTGTCAGAAGAGAAATTCCATCAAATGGCAAGTTTTCAATCATTTGATGCAACCATTAACTGATCACTTGTACGAAAAGACTCCTAGCCGAAAAGATGCTTGAAGCACAGAGTTTCTCTGGAGACACAGTAGCAGTGATACATATTCTTCAAATAATGTTCATCAGCAATATCATGTTTACAACACTCTGAATCAAATTAGGAGGGATAAATAAATTATAGGTTCGTTTCTTTTATAATTCAACTGAATGCATTACGGATCCATTATTTCCACTTTGGGTCGGAATATGCCTAATATGTAAAGTTATTATTGACTAACCCAGAATCGTATTTCTAATAATTCATTTTGAGGATCCGTTTTGGCACGGCTATGGTCTTAGGGCCAGATCATCGCGATTGGCGATACTTTGGGGCTGAACCTTTGCCATAGTGAATTTAATGGGATGGTGTAAAGCGGAAAAGTAAGCACTGATAAGAAAGACAGACAGATCAATTCATACCACTGTAGAGATGACAGTTAAGAACTTGTTCATTTCCGTTCGTGGAAAGTTCGGATGATTTTCCAGTCCATTTGAGATTAAATGATTGGAAACTGTTCAGGTTCAGACCAACGTAGTTTGATTCACAGGTGCCTATCACAATATAAGATCAGTAGAGGATTCTGAAAGGTTATTTTGAATTAAGTTTTCGTATATTTTTTTAATTAAAACACATACAATCAATACAATAGAATATATTGGTATAAGTATATACTCAGTACTATACATTGGAGGAAGATATTTGATACGAGAAATATGTATAGTTCTTCAAAGCTGCAACAAAAAGTGGATTTGTTATTATTCTTCTGAATGATTTTCGCCTCCTAAAAATATGTCTTTTACGTCTGATACAGCTCTCCACGACAAAATCTAAATTCAATTGGGTAAAGCAAATTCAAGATTACTTTTCCACTCTAGACATACAGGATTTATCAGAAAACGATCTTAAAAACGATTTTAAAAATCTCCCATCATTATCACTTCCTATCAATCTATTTCACTCCGAGAGGATAAGATAAGGATATCTCACTCAGAATATCCCTACCTGTATGAATTACTCAGTAGTGAAAACGGTCTATTTCATCTCAAATTGTCTAATCCAATCTCATCCATCAGACTGATTGCACAGTTGAGAACAGCTAATAAATATTTTCTTAAATTGAGTGCCAATGGCTTCACTCATATTATAAAAATGGATTGGAAATGAGACAAACTCTCACCTATTCTTTGAATGTCCTATTTATAAAGGATTGAGAATTTTGTTGAAGCCACAGATCACAGACATGAATGATCTATTAGAAACCCGCAGTACTGGCTTTCCAAAAAATCTCAAAATTTTGTACATTTCCTAGCAGGTCTATTGAAGCTTCGCTCTTTTGTTCTGAATGAATAGTAACACCGATGTATTATAGTCTCAATATTTTGATATTGTATTTTAATATTATTACTTTCTGAATACTATACAGAGTGGGCCTTTGAAAACGAAACAGAGGCTCTGTAGGTCGCCAAAACCGGATTATCAAAAAAAAACTGAAACAGGTCAACTACATTTTCGAGGGGGACATCTTTCTAAAATATTTTCAGCCCTGCGGCGTTGCCGCTTCTAAAGAAAAGAAGCAACAACTTTGTTATTTCAAATGGAACACCTTGTATTTTATTGCATTTTTAGATTCTCCCCGAAGAGCTGATTTCATCAATGCATCACACTTAGGGTCTAGCTGTAATGGTTTCAGGGATATAAAGTGTTCAAAATCGAGATTTTTCAACTTTAACATTTTTTTGTGTCGAAACTATTCATTATTGGTCAAAACGGCTCTCATGTCCCGATCTCAACTTGTGATTTACTATCTACTGACATTTATTTGAAACAAATACAGGGTGGTTCAAGATTCAGAATTCTGATCACCCTGTATCTGTTCCAGTTAAATGTCAGTAGATAGTAAATCACAAGTTGAGATAGGGACATGAGAGCCGTTTCGACCAATAATGAATAGTTTCGACACAAAAAAATGTCAAAGTTGAAAAATCTCGATTTTGAACACTTTATATCCCTGAAACCATTACAGCTAGACCCCAAGTGTGATGCATTGATGAAATCAGCTCTTCGGGGAGAATCTAAAAATGCAATGAAATACAAGGTGTTCCATTTGAAATAACAAAGTTGTTGCTTCTTTTCGTTAGCAGTGGCAACGCTGCAGGGCTGAAAATATTGTAGGACGATGTCCCCCTCGAAAACGTAGTTGACGTGTTTCAGATTCTTTTCATAATCCGGTTTTGGCGACCTAAAGAGCCTCTGTTTCGTTTTCAAAGGCCCACTCTGTATATTTGCATGTTTATCTACCTTTCTCTTTATGCTTGTGAAAAATATGACTGCCTCAATGTTTTACTTTTATTTTATTTTTCTTCTTCTTTGCTGTTAGCAGCCAAGCATAAAAATTGTAAATTCTTTATGAACAATAAAAATTCCAAAAATCTAAAAAATCTTTTATTCTCCTGTTGAATTATTGGTATTATTTCCACTCTTTGAATGATGACCGAACCAGAAGTAATTTTGATTCAATACTCTAAGGAAGAAAGGAATCCAAGGCAATTCAATAAATTTACATAAAGAAGATCATGTTTCGATCCCAAATGAAGTCCATCATCAGTATACGCATCATAAAGAAGACCTATGATGGAAATCGACCATATTAAATGGTGGAAATGGAAAAATTGTCATGAGCTACCACATATTATGTAATATCAATCCATCATACATCCAGAAACGAATGCTTGATGACAGTGGTTATGTCAACAAATTAAAATTCTCAGATTTCGGTTCGTTATAGCATAGATCTAAATATTTAGATCTATGGTTATAGTTTTAGTTATATTAGAGGGAGATGAAAATTGTGTATATCAAGACTCCTTCATCCATAGAACGGCTAGGCTCTGGAATTCATTGCCTGTGGAAGTATTCCCAACAACATATAATCTCCAGAAGTTCAAAAAAAATTCCAATACCTATAACTTCTGTCCCTATCCTCCCTAGGAATGCACGATGTTCTTTGAACATTATAGGGATTCCCTTTCGTGCGCTCCAAGCGATAAAAAAATAAAAAACTGGACTTCAGGTTACTAATGTGGATATGATATCCGAAATGAGTTTTACTCGAGTTGAGTCATATAACCTGTTTGTGAGAGATATAATTCCCATATCACTGATACGAATGATTTTTTTTTTGAAGTTCCAAGCTCATCAAGATCAGAGTTCATACAGGTATACTTCTCCTATACATTTCAATTTTCATTTCAATGCTGAACATATTAGTAAGTTATATTTTTATATCATAATGTCCACGACATCTGTAGTACTGTTCCAAGTTTTCAAGTCAGCGGGTAACTTGAAACTATATATTATTTGATTATCATCCCAACGACTGAACAGGGGAAGATGAATATTTGTATAATTATAGTATATCAACTCATACATCTTTAGTGTGCAAAATTCCCTGATTTTCCTGCCATGATCAATAACTTTGCCACTTATATTTGTATCTAAAAGGTGTTTCAAGTATACCCATTCCACGGTACTATTTTGTTTTAGCAAAATCGCTTCCAGTCCACTGCATCGTAGAAGCGATCTGTTCTCTCGAAGAGAGTCGCTCCTTGCAACACGGAGTATGGAGACGTCGACCCATGATAGAAATCGACACGTACGTGATCATCCCTGTAGGGACTCCATTCCACAACCTGGTGCAGGCTGCCTTGTTCCGACTGGGGTACTCTTCTGAGAGCGCGGCTGCTGCCAAAGGCTCTGTTCTGATAAAGAACTGGAAAGCGCTGACCTTCGACCAGATTTCCGATGACTCGTTGATAACCGTGGGGGACATCCTGGGAGAACTCTCCACTGTGGCCACGTTGAGGATCCAGGTGTTCAGGGGGAGACCAGGAGTTTTGAGTGAAATCAAAGACAAGCTGTTGCGGTTTCTGCTGCTGCAGTCACATGGGCTTCTGCTGTCTTCAGGATGTCCGTTGGATGAGGTTAGTAGAGTTTTTGATATTTTTTTATACGAAAATCGAAAAGTCGTGTGTCAAAAGCATAACTGGTACTGGTACTGGTGGGGGACGTTTCCACGTCAGCAACTAGTCCCCAATGGGACCTTTTTGCAAACCCCAAGTGTTTTCAATGCCTGATGTGGTTCGCTCAAGAGAGCTGGCTAACATCCTTTTCAGGCACCGCCCATCATCAGCTCTCTTTTTTCAGAGTTTTTCAGCTGTGTTTTGTAGGCTAGTAATGTACTCACTACCATATGCGCAGTGGCAGGCCTGCTAACTATCATCGTTAACCCCCGAGACCGAGGTCTACTTAAGCAGCTGGCCCGCTCTCACGCTCAGCTGGTAGTTTTCCACACCCACCCATACATACACCGTCCTACTTCTTCTCTGATGCTCACAACCACATCATCATATCTTTCTGCGTGTTATGTGTAGGCTTTGTTACTAACTCCATGCGCCACTTTAGGAGCAGCACTGTTAATTGGAACGCAACAGCGAATCGTGCAGTACTATCCCCAGCCGATGCTCCGAAACTTTACAATTCGTGAATGAAATATTGAAAAAAGTTCCTTGCCTGTGCTGGGAATCGAACCCACGACCTTGCGGTCGTGAGACGGATGCTCTTCCACTTCAAAAGCATAAAGTATGATTGTGAATACGCCAAAGACACGATCTGTCTGTCTGATTATTGGTTATATTAATATATCGAGGAACTTTGCCTCCATATGTTTATTGGGGAATGCAGCAAAGTAAAGAGGGTACTCTTTAAAGTTTGTCCAAGCTTTCGGAATCTTGTATTTCCATCATCAGGGATACTACAACAATTTTCCATTAGGTCACACTGATTCTACTGAGGGAATTTCACTTACATCTGATGATAAAAGTGTATATGACGATAACGACATAGTTGAAAAGACGAACAAAAAACAGGATCAACCACAATTATGTGAAATTAGTTAATTTGTGAAATTTTAAAAATGTGAAAAAAACATCATTCAAGCGGCAAGTACTTCTTCTTCAGTGTTTCTTTAACGTCGGCCTTTTTCTGCTACTGAGACTAATCACCGACGCCAGTGACTACTCCCAACCGAAAATTTTGCCGAATCCTCTGGTGTTCCAACATCCATGGCCTATGATGTCGTAGGTTGAGTTAATCTCCTTCTCCTTCAATCATCACTTCATGACTGAATATTTATGGAGAAATGATAGATGGAAAAGGTGCCATAGCCACAATGTGAATTTGCTACATTCAGTCAAAAACAAGAGAACTGAAAGAGCAGAAGAGATATATTTATCCTCCTAGCATTTCGAGCTTTGTCAAGTTTTTTAATTTTATTTTATTTTTAGTAAAAAGATGAAGTTAATGAGAGAAAATTCCTGATTTTTTTGTGAGTTTCCAGGACAATTTGTTTATTTGGAAGATTTTAAAAAAATGTGGATTAATTTTGATTTCATCCAGGAACGTATATATTCGAAAGTGTCAATCTTGTGCTTCAGACGGTCTACCTCTCGATTCAATAGAGCAATAATTCAGAAAGCGTTGAGAGAGAAAAAAATGTCTTTCCCATTTGTCCTTGTCTTCAGTGTTCCAACATAAAATAATGAGAATTGTTTGTTGGCAAACTGGAAATGAGAAGTAATGGAGAAAAAGACCATTCTAACTTTTTTTATTTTGAGGTTAATATGATTTTCTTCTCAATTTTTTTCCATTTCCTATGTTATTTATCAACATAAAACTAGCTGAAATTATTCTATCCAATATGTGTTACAAAGGTATGGTATGCCATGGACAATTGACGGTATTTGAAATCAATCGAAAATCAATTTGACACTTCTGCCAATATGAATATATATATTGTGTAATTGCTTATATGGAATATAAAGAACTGATTGTAGTACCTATGTCGACTGCAAAGATGCATGCTGAAGCCAATTAATTTAGGGAGGAAATATGTTTTTTTCTCTCCTGGGATTTAATTGACAACTTTGTTTCCTTGAATTAGGAAGCGAATCCCTACTTTCCATTCAGTGAGTAGATAAAATCAATTTCCTTTGTGAATCCAGTTGCATAATCTTCACGTTTAATGGATGTGCTGCTGCGAGTTCGAGTACGTGGGGATAAAATTAAATTCCTCGTATACTGCTTGCAGAATTGCATACATCCAGCAAATGGAAGCCTAATATTTTCTTCAACAATGTGCATGTGAATGTTCATTAGAACCGAATTATACAAAGGAGTTGGTTTTGAGATGCCCGTCTTAAGAATTAGAGGAGAATGAATGTATTAAGGGTGCAGAGAATAGCTGTAACCCTGCTTTTAATAAGATTATGTAGCATTATTTCATGGTATTAATAAGATCAAAAGCCTTCTACATCATGCAGCAGGAGTAGATCCGCGTATTCCTTCAACCCCACTATATCTAACCTCCGATAGAAAATGTCTTTGGTAAAAAAAGTTTCATTTCAGTTATATGGGTTGCCGACACACTATGGATTTGTTGAAAATTCACAAATAGGAATTTCCCAAGCTCATGACAATTTGGTTGATCACAAGTGATTTCAAAAATTTCTCTTGCAGGTATGCACGCGAGGATATACCCCAAAAGGGTGGAACGTTTTTGCATTTCACATACATAAACACTCTTGAATAACCATGAAAGAAAGAGCAACATAGCAATGCACATACGTACATATTCTCTCCTCAGTGTAGAAACCAGGAATAAAAAATTTAGATGTATCTTCAACACACATCCGCTCTTGAAGAATGATTTTAGTATTTCTTCTTTATATTATTCCGAATTTTGATTTGGATTTAGTATGCATTGTGGTGAATTGGCAAATTCCAACATTATATTTTTATCTCTGGGCACTCGCTGTGACTTTGAACGGATTGAATATTTATTATTTCCAAAGACAATGTTATCAGCTAACAACAACGAACAACAGTTCCACTTTAAGTACTTACAGTATATTTACAAGACTTTGACGCATAAGTTTAAAACGTAGCTTAGCTAATCTCGCACTCAATTTTCATGTCAGAGGAAAATTATCATTCGACTTACATGTTGGCAAAAAACAAAATACTGTAAACATGGTCGGAGTTCAGGTGATTTGTCGTGTCGGATAGAATGGAATAGCGTGGTATTAATTGATATTATATTCATCGGACGAGGCCAGTCATTCGATCAGTATTCAATCAAACCAAATGATGATAATGTTTTTTCATTAAATTCTCGAAACAAAATACGTCGTCCACTATCTGAAAATGGTGCTGATGGGTAGACATTATTTTTTATATCATAGTTGGCCGAAATAAACGATATGAAACATTTATTTCATCGGGCTGATCACGCACAAATCAATAACTAGTTTAGTGAAACTACATGTGATGAAATTCTTCATCACGAAGATATTGACACTTCCGTTGAAAAGTTTTATGCAGTACTATAAAATGTTATTGATAGGTAGGTATGTTTCCAAGAGAGAGTGCAATAGGGAAACTCACCCCACTTGGTTCTGGAAAAAAATCTATAAGCTTAAAAGAGGAAAAAATCAAAGATCGACTGAAAATGATTATAGAACATACTTCAATCAAATTAGGTTTCAAGAAAGGCGCTGGGCCAGATGACATACCTGCTATTTTCATCAATAATTTAGTCAAATCACTTTCAATACTTTCCAACCAATCTGTGGGATTAGCTTAATTCCCAGTGGAAGGTTGGACAAACAATACCAGTTTTTAAAAATGGCAAAAAGTCAGAAAGTCCGCCCTATTTCCTTATTGAATCTGTTAGGTGAAATCTTCGAGTCAATTGTGACGAACGAGCTGTTTCATATGGTGAAAAATCACATAACTGTACATCAACATGGTTTTTATAAAAAGAGAAGTGTCTTATCTGAACTGGTCCCTTATTTTGTGCAGGAAATATTTCAATCAATGGAAAACGGCGCTTCAACTGGTGTCGTGTACCCCGACATTTCTAGGGCCTTCGATAAAGTACATTACCTTACTCTAATCGTAAAGCCAAAATTGTAAAACCATGATTTTATTTTTTGTCAGCCTGTAATTGTCTGTTGGGTGTCCTCATGAATTGAATAAATAAATAAATGAATAAATACGGACCTATATATTTCGATTTGAAGCAACTTTTCTTCGTAGCTTTCTGACCTATCAATAAAAATGCTACTTTTTCTGAAAACGATTTGGAACGTTGTAAAATCATGTGGCCTAGAAGTTTGTTCTTCAACTATTGTTCGTTGTATTTGCCACATGGAGGTTACTCCACAGAAAGATCGATTTTTTACCAAGGCATAATCATTTTTCGAAAGTGAAATGACGTTACAAATCATTCAATCAAGCGAGAATTTTTTGTCCCCAGCTAGAGTAGTTTCCCTAAACCAGGGACACGCTGTACAACACGTTTATTTTCTCATGTTGAAAATTATGCTTCAGTAACATTTTCTTTTCGAATTTGTACTTTATCTTATTCTCAACTTTCATCCATTGTCTGAACAAAGAATTATACTTTGTGAGAGAGGACTGAACTTTGAATCCCTTGAGAACTCATATATTTTGTTTTAGAATCCTTGTCATTTTACTCAAGTTTCAACAAATTCTTTATTGATTCAGATATTCTCTCTTATATTTTCATGCTTGTTCTTAGGAGGAACCTTGTATCATTTAATGATTCTAAACAATATTTTGGACTTTTCTGCCATGTTGCATAACTTTGTTGTTAGTGGATTTCTAACCGGAGGAATTAAGATGTATCGAAATAATCAGAGGAAGTATTCTGATAATCTCTGGTTTCAAAAAAGTTTGATTCTTTCAGCCATTTTTGTTATCACATTGAGAGTAGTTTGAGTAAGAAAATAATCGAAATTGTCACTCGATAGATAGATAGAGATAGATCGGTATCTGGAGATTTTCGATAATTTGGCGGATGCGTTCAACAATTGGAAAATGGCAAGTTCCTCAAATAAATGCGCTTTTTTAGAATGATTGGATTTTCTTTGAAAAATTCCAGAGCTTGTCCGTTCAATAGATAAACGAGTTTTGGTAGAGATTTGTTTGACATACCTCGAGCCTGACGACCGAGATATGTGCGGGCTGAGCTTGTCAACTTCGTCTGACTGGTATTGCTAGTGATAGAATGAAAGCCGAAATTTCTTAGAAATATTTCCCGGGGAAGTCTCTATATGAATGTGAATGGTCGCCGACCTTTCTGAAGTATTGCAATGGAATCAAGGAGGCAGTGGGTGTGGCATCACCAACCAGGCGAATGACTCTTCTCTGAATGGAATCTTATTTGCGTTTATCCAACCTATTTATATGGAAACAGACAGATCCAAATAGACACCATTTTGCGATTGAAGCTAGTGTGTTCTGATGGTGCCACTCAATTTCTGACCCGAATTGGTAGTTATTCTAATTCCAACAAACAGGAAACACTGAATAATGAATTGATTAAGTCTGATGAAACGTTACCTACAGAAAAAACTCATTCACTGATTTTTTAATATCAAATTTCTAACTTCAACCAATATGATCGCTGTCAATTTTACACTATACAATGTGCGGTGTTCCGACCACAAGACGGTGTAAAGCGTCCCAGTAACGTGGAAGGTGGTTTGAGTTGCTTCAATGAATTATTTTTCCCATTCAATAAGGCCTCTTGTCTCATCGAAAACACACTCTCGAGGTAAAGTTTTTGGGATTTCACGAAATCTTGCATTCAAAATTACCCGCCAATTATTTTTCGCGACCCTTATGGTTTATCCATTTTAATTGCAACGAAAGCCCAAGAATAAATCGCTAAAACTTCCTGTGAATGGGTTGACTGTTTCTTGTTTGGGGATGGGGGAATTATCTATTCGGATCGAAAACGATGTCTCCCTCCTTTTGTGCTCATTTTATCTCAGTAGCGCTGTATCGTTTATCCTCTAGGTTGATCCTCTCTCATCCCGTTCAGTAAGCTGTAGGAACGAAATCAAAAATGCATTCAACAGTTAGCTATAACGAACTGCTTATAAATCATAACACGAATGCTTTCCATTTCAATAGCTGATGTCGATTCAGAATAGTACAGGCGATATGTAAGGGCGCAAGGGCTGAACTGAATTCATCATGAAATTGTCGTTCTCCTGTAATCTACATTTATAAAAGCAATTAAGAACGTTCAACTGAGGATCAGTGATGATCCTCTGTTATGCATCAATGACATTGGGATGACTGGAAGACAGAAACCTACTTCTCTACATCATAAAAGATTATATGGTATACTGGATTGATATAGCGATTTTTTCAAGGGTTGGGACATGGTCAAATAACCTCAGTTTGAATTCTAGTTCCGCTAGTAAATGCAGGAATTCTCATTATCTAGGAAAATCACGAAAGAAACATAGAATACATATTGATGTCAACATCCTAATTTACATGAATTCCCTATTTCCTACTGTACTATACAAGATAAATGCTGGTGAACTCTGTTCAGAACGTCTGCTTCTACATATACATAATCTTTAATACTCGAAAACCTACACGCTCCTCATTATATCCAACTTATCCCTTTCATTATATCTGTGTATCTGGCTAAGCTCTGAATTCTCAGTCATTCAACCCTTGAAAGAACAAACAACACATTAATAAAAAACGAAGATGTTATCAATATGTTTGATTGCACTGAGAATTTGAAATTGTCAACATTATCATCATTGGAGTGTTGGTATGCTGGTATCTCTGGCTGACTTCTGATTTGATAATTACCTACTTGCAAAATTCGAGATAGATTATTGCGAACAAGTCTACACACCGTCTTTGCTATCATACTATTTAGTTAGGTGAGCAATCGTTTTCGGTCACTTCAAGTGATCACTTTATACCACACTGCCCAAGAGTATTCAGTTATAGTATAGTAATTAGTCAGGTATTCAAGACCCCGTATAAACGTGACACTTTTCGGTAGTAATAAAACAATTTATTTCATCTTTCCAGATACTTCTGTCACAATTATGCCGAAATAGTAACTCAGCATCAGGTCCCCTGCCAGAAATCTCGGAAGAAAGCCGCAGGAAATTCGACCAATGGTGGTCGACGCAATTCAGTCCTCAGTCCCCTGCTACAAGGTCACAATTTGTTCCGACCTACCCCAACCACTACCCAGTCCCTTCACAACCTCCTACACCAATGGAGCGCAATCTTGCCGATCCCCACCCCGCCATTCAGACTGTCCACAACCAGTTCCCTACCCAAAAGACTAGGATGAGGACTAGTTTCGATCCAGAACTGGAACTACCTAAACTGCAGAGGTGGTTCACTGAAAACCAGCATCCTAGCAGACAGCAAATCCAGCAGTACGTGAAGGAACTAAATAATCTCGAATCTAGAAGAGGCAGGAAACCGCTAGACATCAACAATGTAGTATACTGGTTCAAAAACGCGAGGGCGGCTCAGAAGAGAGCTGAGATTAGGAATGTGACCACACCTAATCTACAATGCCACATTACTGTTAATGGCTACAACAGTCACAGTCCTCCCAACGGTACTAGTTTCATGTTATCTGATAACTACCTGAACTCGGAGAGACTGAACGACCACAGATTGAAGAACAATATGTCGAGGCGGGGTCCGCAGAATTCCCAAACTTCAGACGAGTTCTCGAATGCTGGATCCGATCTGGAAGATGAGGATATGACGGAAGTGCAACCGCCCAGCCCGACTGGTCCTTTGTCCTTGACGACCAGGAAGGATTCCAGGGACGACAGTCCCAGGTCTTCCACTACGCCTCCTCACCAGCCTCCTGACATCCAAGTAGGTATAAAAAGCGGCTTTTAACACGTTGACGCCGGGCTCAAATTCACACTAGTGGTATCAGAGCCGAAGCAAAATTCGAAATTTTTTCCAGAAACCATCAGTGACTCTATGTAGCTGAAGCCTACAGAAGATAGTACATCGTTGAAATTTTTGATAATTGGATCCCTGGACCCAAAAAAGTAAAAAATGTACCTTTGTACGCCGCTTCGGTCCGACCGACTTTGGCCTCGGTCCAGTGGTCTAGCACTGTGTAAAATACTTGCCTCATACTTTTCGTATGTGTCACTTGTATCCCGATTGTTTTATACTTGTTCATTGGATAATGTTCGGTGGATATGTAAGTGATAATTGTTAAGTTTAGTAAATGACCAGATTTCGAGATCATAAGAATTCTTTGAGTCAGAGGCCGTATGAAAAACGTAGATCTTGCACCAAGTGTTACTAGAGAATAAAGGAAGAATCAGGATAGCGAAATAAGCCCATAATTTGAAAAGAATACGAACCTTCTGTGAAGTATGTCCTGAAGAACCTGTATTTTGCCTAGATTCTTGAAACAAATGCCCATAAGAAAATATAGAGTACGTATTCTTGGAACACATATATTCGGTTGTATTTCCTAAAAAAATTATGTTACATTTCATCCACTGAATGAACGTTTATTTCACAGTATCGGCCTACCAAACATTCTGTGTTCATACTGATGTGCCTGCCACGCCGACTCGGTCACTGAAGCCATCTCGGTCACTCTCCGCGATATTATTAACAATAATTCTGACCAACGGTTTCACGAGTCGATCAAATGACTCGGTCTCATAGGCCGAGTCGTCCTGGTGTATCAACCTTAATCCCGGTCTATGAGACCGAGGCGGCACGTCAGGATATTTTTTCTCGGTCCTATAGACCGACATGGCAGTCAACGTGTTAACGGCTATATTGACTCACTCTTAGTAGGAGAGCCGACTGCAAATTTCGACCGTCATCTGATGACGTAATGGCATATGTCCTGAAGGCATGTGAAAACATCGTATTTGATCGAATGGCACTTGTGCCAATAACTATCCTGAGCAAAATGAGTGAAAAATTGCACCGTTATGTGCGGTAATTTGAACAAAAGTTCGCTATTCAATAACGAGATAAGAACTAAGCTATCCGCTGCCAATGGAATGGTAGATCTCGAAACCCTACCTGTGGAATGCCTCATCTGAGTCAAATTGCACAGCGATTTTTATGCTGCCGTTATTCTGAACATGCTACCATCACGTGATAACGAGTTGAAACAAAATCTGAATGAAAGTTGATAATGTTCGAGAATATCCCGCTATTCGAACTGATCTAAGTTTCCATCCTTGTCCGAAGAATTCCTAGACTATTGGTTCGATAATCTGGTTCATCGGATATTATCTACCGACAAAGATTGAATATTCACATTTTTTTCGACTCGTTATCACGTGATGATAGTACGTCTAGAATTTCGCCAGCAAAAACCCTCTGTATCGAGGATGTTTTGATTCAACATGAGGAATGACACAGAAAAGGTTTCGAGATCTACCATTCCATTAGCATCGAAAGGCTTAATTTATGTATAGGGTGATTCAAAACTACTTCGACAAAATTCAGGAGGTGATTTCACACAATGGAATTATCCAAATGAGTATATATCTGAAAACGCTTCGTTGTGTTTTTCTCAACATATCTTTCGAATAATGACCTTAATTGAACGAAAATTGGTATTCAGAGGTTTTTTGAGGTGTCGAATTCGAGCCTGATGTTATTATTACTCGAAGGGGGCGCCACATACACGTTTTTTATTATTTGAAGATTCATAACTTCTTCGAGCGAACTTCTAGCACATTTTTCTGTAAGAAAAAAACGGTTCCTCTATCATGTCTACGTGAAATAGCTACCCTTGTTACAAGTCGCTATAAGCAACCGTTTTCTAGATATTTGAACTTCAAAATTTCAAGTCGATTTTTTGATAATCGGTGCACGTTGAGGTTAAGAAAAAGTTAAAAAAAACAATAATAAAAAAATAAAACTGTAACACCCTGGGAAACGAAGCGTTTACGGACATATACTCATTTGGACAATTCATATTAGAATATCGTGAGGAATCATCTCCTGAAGTTTGTCAGAGTACTATTGAAACAACTTGTATTCATTAAATCGTGGAATCTAGCGCAAATAACCGCACTGGCACTTGTGCCGTTCGATAAAATACATTGTCCTATAGGAACCTTTGGGACATATGTCCTTTCGTTATCAGATGACGATCGAAATTTGCAGCTCGGACTATCTTGAATCGTTCCAGACTGAGAAGGACAGACGGGAAGAACCGGCCATGGAAGCGACCAACCTCTGTTCCGGCGACCACCTCAACAACAACAAGATACCTCTGTCCGACATGGAGGAAGACGACGACCACGACAACAAGAGCCCCTTCGAGGCAAACCAGCGACCGTCTCCCGTCAACCGGTCTCTCGCTCAGCGTTTCTGTAACTCCCCGGACGCGGATAATCAGCTGATGCCGCGCGCTCCGGACGGCCTTTTTCCGGTGCTGCCCAACTCCATGTTCAGCCACAGCATCATGTACATGAGCCACTACATGCCAGGCTTGGCCCAAGCCTCCTCCCCTCCGAGTTCCAGCCTTGGTTTGTCTGGCCTGAGCGCGGACGAGAGGAGAAAGCGGAACCGGACCTTCATTGATCCGGTTACCGAGGTGCCAAGGCTTGAGCAGTGGTTTTCGCTGAATACGCATCCCTCGCACAATTTGATCCTGAAGTATACGGAGGAGCTGAATTGTATGGCGTACAGGCAGAAGTTTCCCAGGTTGGAGCCGAAGAACGTGCAGTTCTGGTTCAAGAATCGGAGGGCGAAGTGTAAGAGGTTGAAGATGTCGCTGTTCGATGGCCAAACGGGCCAGTATCACCATAGCGAGCGTGATTAAGTGTGTATTGTTTCGTTGAATCTGAAAGATATCCCATATTTGGACAGTGAATCCCAGGAGAAGAAATAGGAAACAACTTAGGTCGGATGATGCTTCCTATAAAGAAGCCAAAGACCTAATGGGCACTCCTGAAGATGTTTCGTTGGATAACATGGAATTGACATTCTGAGAATTGGCTGATCTCCTGGTTGATAATATGTGGTGATATTTATTTCAAATCTTCATTCGGTGGTGAATAGTTTCCGTTGACTGCGCTTCCCTCGCCAATTTGATCTTGAAGTATACGGAGGAGCGGAATTGTATGGCGTACAGGCAGAAAATGTCCAGGTTGGAGCCGTAGAACATGCAATTCTGGTTCAAGAATCAGAGAGCGAAGTGTAAGAGGTTCAAGATGTCGCTGTTCGATAACCAAACGGGCCAGTTTCACCATAGCGAGCGTGATTAAGTGACTATTGTTTCGTTGTATCTGAAGGGTATCCCATATTTCGACAGTGAATTCCAGGAGAAGGGATAGAAAACAATTCGGGTCGGATTATGCTTCCCATAAGCAATGACACCCCTGAAGATTTTCAATTGGATAACGGTTCAAGACAGATAATTGACATTCTGAGAATTTGCTGATCTTCTGGTTGATAATATGTGGTGATATTTATTGTGTAAGAGGTTGGAGATGTCACTGGCCAGTATCATCATAGTATCATAATCAGATGGCGATATTTCGAAGTGAATTCCATGAGAAAAAATCAAGAGACATTAACATGGTTTCTTGAACTGTTATAGAATTGAAACGATCTTCAGGGTTGCACTTTCGGGCTGAAGCTTTCTTATTGGAAGCATTTTCTGACCCATGTTCTTACGCCCGAATCGGCACCCCTAAGGATCGTTTACGGTTCAAGACAGAGAATTGACATTCTGAGAATTGCCTGATCTTCTCCTGGTTGATGAGGTAATATTGATTTCAAAATCTTATTCGGGGGTAGATCGAATGGGAAGGAGGTAAGGGTGAAAGCTACCCAACTTTTTTGCATTATTTTTGTTTGCTGCCAAAGTATGAAATTTCAATTGTTTTTTTTTACACACGAAGTAAGGTATTCTTGTTAGGAATATCGATTTGAATATGGAATTGTCTCAAAAACGTGACTTAGCTCGAAAAGGAGCGTTATATCTTTCTTGTATAAATAACTTCAGAATTTCATAATTTCGAAATGAAAACAAGCAAAATATGTTGGGTGATTTCAACAGTACTCCCTTCCCTGTTCTACCCATTCCAATGAATTTTCGAAATCAATGACACCACCTCATAAAAAAAAAACTTGTTTTTGTTTTGACCAGTTATGAATATATCAAATCGAAACCGTGTTCTGGGATGCAAAGGTGTAGCTTCCTCAAGAAGCATTTCCACTGAAACGTTCTTCTCCTATTTTTTGGTCATGGAATCTACTGCCAAAAGTATGGTACGCTAATTATTGGACACCCTGTTTTGGAAACTGGGCGTATCTATAGTTCGATGGGCTGGTCCTCTGTGAGCATGTCTGAAATGCCTCCTTTTCAGGACGGTATGGAAGAATTGAGGATGATATCTTGGGTCCTGGTGAAGGAATCACCCTGAATAATTATTGCTCAGAAGCTTACGTTCTCGTTAATTCAATCTTCATTTTCATCAGTTCTGTCTGGACATTTACGAAATTTATGGTGACTGTTTTTTTTGTGATCAAATATTTAGGGGGTTGAGTAGTAGTGTTAAGACAATAATTAGTATATTTTTCTCATGTGCCAATATACATTCCTTATTTTATTTCGATGAATTATAATCGTACTAGTGGGGTGCACAGAAAATCATTTTATTATTACAAGTTTGTCTTGGGACTTGTGTGAACAAAATTATAATACTGAATGATTCAGGCACTAGGACGCTTTGCGAATTTAGCATAACTATAGAAAATTGGTGTTTATGCTGTAATATCACAGGTGATAAAGAAATATTTACCAAATTATATTGCGTCAAAGGATATGGAAGGCAAGACAACCAGCATTTCTTCTTGAATGAATGAGTATGTATATAGGCGTTCCGGTCTAGAGTATTATTTGGTATTTTGAAATAAATACCTATCTATTCCATGTGTTGATTTTGCACTATTGTACCAAAGATTGTTGAAATTTCTGAATATCTATAACATGATTGAGTTGTTGTACATGATTCAGTTGTTGTACATGATTCAGTATATTTAATATACTAGAAACAACGTATTATTCTGCTTATTTAATGATTGTTGTGTCAGTCGTAGCTTGTTACATACAATGTCTGTGAGTGAACATGTAAACTTCCAGAAATTTTGTTATTTATGTTACGTATTTATAAATTCTGTATCTATGTAAATAAATTATTCCAAAACTATGTAGTATGTTTTTTCCCACCCCAATGAGTACCTATGTATAATCTGAAGTGATGAGGAATAAGTTATGTTTCTGAAAAAGAAGCGAGTGGAATAGATCAAGATCGTTTGGTGCCCTCAAGAATCTCAAGTTTTGATGACAGGAAATGGAGAATAGCAGAAATAATCAAAATGGAATAATCAAATTATTTACTGGGAAAGAAATAAGTTGCTTAAGCTGAATTTTCCATTACCTTAAGAATCTCAAGTTTCCAATCATTGAAATCAGGATTCTAGCCTGAATATAAGTAGTTGATGTTGATGATCAAAAATCGAGAATATCAGAAATATACAATATGGAATAGTCGAATAATTGCTTAGGCAGAGATGAGTAAGGTACCCTCAGGAAGAGTTTTATGATCTCCTTTGGAATCTCAAGTTTCCAATCATAGATATCAGTATGTTAGCCTGCATATGATTATGAACAAGACATACATTGACAATATCAGAAATGTTCAAGTGGAATAGTTCGATTGATTGCTTAGACAGCAGGGATGTTACCCTCTGGCTATATTTGTTGATTCCCTTGGGAATTTCAAGTTTCCAATTATAGAAATCAGGATGTCAGCCTGAATTTAATTATGAACAAGTTGATGACAAACAATGGACAATATCAGAAATATTCGATGAATAATAGTTCAGAAGACAGAGGCAGAGATATTTTATATCTACCTATCCTGTGGCTAAAAATATCGATTCTTTCAATGATTATGGAGGAGTCGAATATATTTTTGGAGAAATAGTATGTAGTGATACAGAAACTTCACTGACAGTTAAACATTATCATCACATAATCAGAAGAGATTCACGAACTGGATCAAAATGATTGATCAGGTACAGGGTTATCGATCGAAGAGGTCCACTACTATATTCACGTTATTTTTCACCGAGAAAAAGAAAAAAGAAACTATGACTGTGAGTCTTTTCTGAGGACCCTATATCAAAAGTTTTACAGGGTGATCCATAAATAAAGCGTGATGAACCATCAGTATATACAGTTTCATATTCTTTTCGAACTCTGTAATTTTTTGTGATCACAGAAGATATTGTAGGTACGCACTAAGTTATCTTCTACTGTTCTATTTTTTGCAAACGTGTTAGCATCTACCGAATCTCGTGTAAATCTTGGATGAGAATATATTTGATCGTTGTATCTCGCAGTATTATCGAATTCATTCGCAAATTGAATAACTGAACTAATTCACCACACGAAAATTGTTTTACTGGATTCACAAATAATGTTGTGATGAAAAATTGTATAAGAAAATATACTGTAGGTATGTATGTTCGTATATTTTTTCGTGATGACAAAAATTCACAGAGTTCGAAATATAATTTATAATTATATACAGTGTCATTCAGAAAGTTGGCATCATATGTGAAAAAATACATTTTTCAAATTAATCGCTGAATTTCAAAATTGTTTACGAAAGTTTTTATTATGCCAATTTCACACATGTGTCTCAAATCTGTACTCTTCATAAAGAGAATCCATTACTTGATAGAAACAGCCCTCGCCTGAAACGTCAGTGGCGTAACTAGCATAAGACGAGTGAGCGCAATGCGTTGAGGCCCCCCAAGCTTGGGAGGCCCACTCGATCGACTACTCATTCTCTACTTAAAAAAAAAACTTGAAAAAGTGGATATTTGAAGCAGTTCCGAATTAATTCAAATTCAATTCAAAATTCAGCGTCGCAAGTCGCAACAGAGCAGTCTACATTTTCGGTGATTAGGTAGGGGTAGAATTTATATTCTAATGCTGCTTCTACTGATGCATGACCTATCACTATAGAAAATCCCAAATCAAAAAACAGCTGCTGCTACTATACCACGCCATCAATGTTGAACTGTACTCATAATTATATTTTACTCCAACGCTTATTCAATTGTCAATATTGTTTATGCCTAAACTTTGGTATCCCGTCTGAAAATGTAGATGAGAGCGAGTAATATGTATTTTGTGCGTCGAATTTCTTGTTGCTAAGGAAAGTTGTGATTAATGGGAGACGCGGGTGTGAATTCGGAAAGAGAAAGTATCGGTTTCGGTACAAGAGAGTCAATGATAGCTTAGACAGCCTGAGATGAGCGTGAGCTCAACAACACTCAATCGCCAACTACTCTTACAGTCCTATTTCGAGATCGCGAAATATCTAGTCACTGTCCCTCATTTCTGAATGTATGTGTTTCGCAGTGGAAGTCAAACCTGATAGTTAATTTGTGATCCATCGTATCCAGTTGCTTACTATTGAGCAACCAAAAAGGGTCATCAGGATTCACGAATTATTCTATCAAGGACGATTCCACTTCCGAAGAAAATGTGAATGATATTGGTGAACGAGAACAGTATATTGTGTTTTAGATATATTAGTTGAACGTAATTGCCTACTGTTTGTGAAATAAGAATGAGTAGTACCTAATAGATTGTTAGTTTGTCTGTTTCTACTGTCTATGTATCTTTATTTCAACACCATATCCACTTTCTCTGAAGGGTTGATGAAACTATAGGAAATATGAAACCATTAAGAAACGTGTCCAGGACAGTTTTTTTGAAACGCATCCAAGACAGTT